AGGCTGAGGCAGGAGAATGGCGTGAACCCGGGAGGCGGAGCTTGCAGTGAGCCGAGATGGCGCCACTGCACTCCAGCCTGGGAGACAGAGCGAGACTCCGCCTCAGAAAATAAATAAATAAATAAAATAAAATAAAATAAATAAGTAAATTTTAAAAAAAGAGAAAATGGTCCCCCACAAATCTCAAAGCAAATAAAAGACATTAATTTACAGAGAGGAATCTCTACAAATCCTAAGCAGGCAAATAGAAAAAAAACATGATTAAAAAGATAAAAGGAAACATTCAAAAGCAGCCAGAGGAGAAAAAAAGACATATTACTTTCAAAGAAACAACAATAAGTGGGAGAAGGACTTTTCATCAGAAACTACAGAAGACAGAACCCCATGGAATGACATTTTTCATGTTGAAATGAAAAAAATCTGCCAACATCGAATTCTACCTACTGAAATATACTTCAAAACTAAAAGTTTAGGGTTCTAGAAAATGGCAGCAATGGCGATGACATCACTTTTAAATCTTCCCGCATCATCACATACCAACGGAGCAAGCAGGTAACAAAACCAAAAACTCAGGGGCAATAACACAACTACATGATAAAATCCTAGCAGAGACAAAACAAGACTTCCAGCAAGACTCCTCAGGAAAAAAGACATAACGTCCAATTTTGAGAACAAAAAGAAGATATCAATTAAATCCTACAGATATTAAAAATAAAATAATATTATAAACAACTTTATGTCAATAAAGTTAACAGCTAGATAAAACTGACAAATTTCCTCAAAAGACACAAATTACAAAAATCCAAATTATCCTATATCTGTTAAAGAAATTAAGGCAAAGAGAATCTACGGCTAAGTTATTAGAATAGATAAGAAAATTTAGGCCTTGTGCAGTGGCTCATGCCTGTAATCCCAGCACTTTGGTATTCTGAGGTGGGACGATCGCTTGAGCTTAGGAGTTTGAGACCAGCCTGGGCAACATGGTGAAAGCCCATCTCAAAATTTTTTTTTTAAAAAAAGAATGGATAAGAATATTCAGCAAGAATGTGGGATACAAAATATAAAAATCATTCTCATTTCTAGCAGCCACAAACAGAAGAGACAAATTTTGAAAAGATACCATTTATGGTTGCAATAAAGGATACAAAATGCCTAAAAATAAATTTAACAAAAGATGTGTAAGTGGAAAAAACTATATATCTTTATGAAAGTTATTAAAGAGGCCAGGCATGGTGACTCACACCTATAATCCCAGCACTTAGGGAGGCCGAGGCAGGTGGATCACCTGAGGTCAGGAATTCGAGTCCAGGGTGGCCAACTTGGGGAAACCCTGTATCCACTAAAAATACAAAATTAGCTGGGCATGGTGGCATGTGCCTGTAATCTCAGCTACTGGAGAGGCTGAGGCAGGAGAATCTCTTAGAACCTGGGAGGCGGAGGTTGCAGTGAGCCAAGGTCGTGCCATTCCACTTTAGCCTAGGCAACAGAATGAGACTCTGTCTCAAAACAAAACAAAAACCAAAACGACAAGAAAAAGAGAAAAACATTAAAGAAGTCTTAGGCAAAAGGGACACAGACCATATTCTAGCTTTTATTTGAAGTTCAGGAGTACATGTGCAGGCTTACTATATAGGAAAACTCCTGTCATGGGAGTTTGTTATACAGATTATTTCATCACCCAGGTATTAATCCCAGTACCCACTGGTCATTTTTTCTGCTCCTCTCCCTCCTCCCACCCTCCATCTTCCCATAGGCCCCAGTGTCTGTTGTTCCCCTCTATGCATCCATGTGTGCTCATTATTTATCTCCCACTTCTACATGAGAACATGCAGGTTTTCTGTTCCTGCATTAGTTTGAAAAGGATAGGGCCATATTCATAGATTGGGATATTCAGTCCATTGAAGATGTCAGTCTCCCAACTGATTTATAGCTATAATGTGTACTATAATTCAAACAAATACTAACGGTTTGTTTTTTGTTTTTGTTTTTGTTTTGTTTTGTTTTTTGAGATGAAATCTGGCTCTGTCGCCCAGGCTGTAGTGCAAAGGCGCGATCTCAGCTCACTGCAACCTCGGCCTTCCAGGTTCAAGTGAGTCTCCTGTTTCTTACCTCAGTCTCCCTAGTAGCTGGGATTACAGGCTCATGCCACCACGCCTGGCCAATTTTTGTATTTTTAGTAGAGACAGGGTTTCCCCCTGTTGGCCAGGCTGCTCTCAAACCCCTGACCTCAGGTGATCCACCCACCTCGGCCTCCCAAAGTGCTGGGATTACAGGAGTAAGCCTGTAATGAAATTTGATAATCTATTTTAAATCTTATTTGAAAGAGCCAAAAGCCAAGATACTCTTGAAGAACAAGATGGGTAAGTTACTTTAGCAGACATCTAGCAGATAACTAGAAAGCCATAGTAATTAAGACAGACTGGTTTACACAATTACACCGTGATAAACAAATTAAATAATGACACAGAATAAAGAGGCCAGAAACCAACTCTCCTTTACATGGAAATTGGATTCATGACTGAATTGTAACTGCAGATCTGTGAAGAAATGATGGGCTCTTCAATAAGTCGTACAGGAAAAATTGTTATCCTTATGGGGGAAAAAGGAAGTCAGAGCTCTACCTCATACCATAGAAAAAATTTGATTTTGAATACTTAAATGTGAAAAAATAAAACCGTAAAAATTTTTAGAAGAAAATATCAATCACGAGAATGATTTTTTTTTTTGAGACGGAGTCTCCCTCTGTCACCCAAGCTGGGGTGCAGTGGTGCGATCTCTGCTCACTGCAACCTCCGCCTCCTGGGTTTAAGTGATTTTCCTGCCTAGGCCTCCCAAGTAACTGGGATTACAGGCACACACCACCACACCCGGCCAATTTTTGTATTTTTAGTGGAGATGGGGTTTCACCATGTTGTCCATGCCGGTCTTGAATTCCTGACCTCAAGTGATCCACCCATCAGCCTCCCAAAGTGGTGGGATTACAGGCGTGAGCCACCATGCCTGGCCTTCCAAGAATGATTTTTTAAGCTCAGAAGGTGAAATAAATACAGAAAAATGCTGATGAATATAACTACTGCATTTGTTTGCTAGTGCTGCATAACCAATCCTAATTTAGCAGCTTAAAGTCATTTGTTAGCTTGTGGATCTGTAGGCCAGAGGCCCAGGCGTGGTGTGGCTGGGCTTTCCACTTGGGGTCTTGCCAGC